GGGAGAGCCTGGTGCTGACAACACCAAGTCAAGGGTTAAGATCCCCTTACTGGTCATCTTTTTAAAAAACTTTTTTTAAAAAAAGAAAAAAAGAGATGACAGGTGCACATCCACAAGAATGAGTGGACCTAAACATAGGGTGATTGTAAGCAACATGGTCTAGAAAGATGGAAGACAAGGAGAGGCTCAGCATTCTGCTTCTCTATCATGGCCTGGCTGGCTTGGGTTTACCCTCACTCCATCAGGTGTGGGAAGAAAGCAGCAAGCCTAACAATAAACTTAATGAACTCTGAGGTTTGAAAGTCCAGAAACCCCCAGCATGTCAGGATGGTCCTGATGCTGGGCTTGGCTTGAGGCGTGGTGTGGTTTGGTAGCAGTCAGGGGGAAAATGCCAGGGGGAGCTTCAAATAAGATGGCCTTGCTCTAGGCAGGAACCAGAGCTTCTCTGCGGGTCTTAAACTTGCAAGTTGTATGCTGTCATGCAGCCAAGAGAAAACAAAAACAAAAATAGAAACATGTGGAAGGCACTTTCGCACCTGGCTGGGGGTTGACTAGATGACTACCCAGGTCTCTTCCATGCCCAGAACTCTCTAAAATGTTCAGCAGCAAGAGAATATTGAGGCAAAATGGATTTTCACACCAAATGTATGAGTTTATTTCAATTTTTAAATGAAATTAATTCACCTACTATAATTAAAGTGTACAATTCAGTAGTTTTTAGTATATTCACAAAGTTGTGCACCCATCACATCCCCACTGTCCAATCCTAGAGCTAAGAAATCCCACACCCATTAGCAGTCACTCCCCATTCCCTCCTCCACCAGCCCCTGGCAACCACTAACCTACTCTTTGTCTCTATGGATTTGCCTAGTCTGGATATTTCATATAAATGGAATCATACAATAGGTGGCCTTGCACGTCTGGCTTCATGTGGCTTCATGTAGCATGTGTCAGTACTTCATTCCTTTCTATGGCTGACTAGTCTTAGGAGTATTCCATGGAAACATTTTGCTTATCCACTCATCACTGAGGTGCACGTGAGGCGTTTGAGCTCGTTTTAAATGTGTGATGATGTAAATGCATTGTCTGCCTACCCCTTCTCTCAAACGAAGGAAAATGAGTAGCAAAATGAAAGGCAAGCAGGCAGAACACCAGCAACTGGTATTCAGAAAAGGAAAGTCACCCCTGGTTTTTAGGTTAAATCTATGAAGATGGGGCCAAGATTTGGTGTCCACCTAGCTCAAGGCTCCTCATGCTTTCCATTCTCAAGTCTGAGTTGAATCCATCCACTCAGACATCAAGTTAACCCACTGGAAAGTTCTTGGATCAGCAGGAAAAACTAAAAGCGATTGTCCAGATGAGCGGTTTTTAATCTGTCTTCCAGAGACTCCTAAGGTTTCATGGAAGCAAGTCAAGGCCACCAAGCAGACTGGGGCTGGAGAGCAGGTGGGTAGGACTCTGAGCCCAGCCCCCATCCCTGCTTTAAACAGAACAGCTCTGATTTAATTGCTTTATTTGTTGAGGTTCCCTGTAAAGAGGATCCGTGATTAAAAAACATTTGGTAACGACTGGTCTAGGTGGTTGTGGAACTGCTGGACTCAAGTTGGGCCTATCTAGTGGCCATTCTTACGAGTTCTTCTGAGGAACCTTGATGGTGACTGTCTTCACCTCCGTGTGACTGGTCTAGGTGGTTGTGGAACTGCTGGACTCAAGTTGGGCCTATATAGTGGCCATTCTTACGAGTTCTTCTGAGGAACCTTGATGGTGACTGTCTTCACCTCCGTGTAGGCCTTAAGCCCATCCTCCCCCAGCTCCCTCCCATTGCCAGACTCCTTAAAGCCTCCAAATGGCGTGTGGCAAGTGACGATGTTGTAGGTATTGACCCACACGGTCCCGGCTTGGAGTGCCTGGGTGAAGTACATGGCCTTGTCCAGGTCCCGGGTGAACACCGCAGCGGCCAAGCCATACCTGGTGTTATTGGCTCTCTCAATCACCTCCTCAATCTTCTTGAACTTGAACAGGGGCTGCACAGGCCCGAAGACCTCCTCCTTGGCAATCCTCATGTCATCCTGCACATCACCAAAGACTGTGGGCTTGATGAAGAAACCGCGCTCCCCAAAACGCTCCCCGCCGCAGAGGAGTTTTGCCCCTTCCTTCTGGCCAAGCCGGATGTAGCCCAGGATTCGTTCAAACTGCTCCTTGTCCACCTGGGGCCCCTGCTGGGTGTCCAGCTCAAAGGGGTTCCCAACTTTCCTCTGCTTAGCTTTCTCCACGGTTCTCTCGAGGAACTCGTCGTAGATGGACTCTTCTACGAAGGTGCGGGAACCAGCACAGCAGCACTGGCCCATGTTGAAGAAGAGGGCTTCATGGCACTGCTGCACGGCGTGACCCAGGTCGGCATCGGCCAACACGATGCTGGGGCTCTTGCCACCCAGCTCCAGGGTGACTCTCTTGAGGTTGGAATCACCGGCTGCCTTCTGGATCAGGTGGCCCACCTCGGTGGAGCCAGTGAAGGCAATTTTGTCAATATCCATGTGGTGGGCGATGGCCGCTCCTGCTGTTGGGCCGTAGCCTGTGATGATGTTCACCACCCCAGGGGGGAAGCCTGCCTCCTTGATGAGGGAGGCCAAGTACAGGGCAGAAAAGGGGGTCTGCTCTGCGACCTTCATAACCACAGTGTTGCCTGTGGCAAGCGCCGGGGCAAGCTTCCAGCCCTGCATGACCAAGGGGAAGTTCCATGGGATTATCTGGCCACAGACACCAACAGGCTCGTGCCGGGTGAAGCAGAAATGCTCGCCATCCATGGGGATGGTCTTGCCATGCCATTTGTCAGCCCAGCCGGCGAAATACCGGTATACCTTAATGACCTCATCCAGGTCCAAGGCGTAAGATTCCTGGAAAGGCTTCCCATTGTCCAAGGTCTCCAGTGAGGCCAAGTAGACACGGTCCCGCTCCACTAGGTCAGCCAGGCGGTTCAACAGCCGGCCCCGCTCAGAGGCATCCATCCGGCGCCAAGGGGACCCCAGGCGGAAGGCCTCCCGGGCTGCTTTCACAGCCCGATCCACATCAGCCTGGTCCCCTTCAGCCACGTGCCCGATGACCTCCCCTGTAGTGGGGTTGACTGTAGGGAAGGTCTTCTTGCTGACTGCATCTTGCCACTCGTTGTTGATGAATAGCTGGTTATAGCGGATGTCTGGGTTCAGGACGGGTCTTGGGAGGGCTGCTGCTGACGAGTACGGCACAGTCCTGCCATGGAAGCAAAGCAGCCGGGGCACCAGGAAGCGCAGCATGCTGGCCACCCAGGAGAGGAACAGAAGGAACCAGAGTGAGCAGGTGTGAGGGGCAAAGGGTCACCCAAAGGCCCGCCAGCTCAGACATTCCAAGATTCTAGCATAAAGGAGTGTCACCTCTAAAAACATGGATTATACTGGGTTCAAGGGCCCTGACGAACTCTCTGGTCCAATCCCGTCATGTTCCACCTATTCTCCTGCTCACTCCCTCACCTCTTCTGGGTCTCTGCTCAAATGTCACCTTCTCAGCAAGGTCTTCCCTGACTACCCTTTATAAAACTGCAACTCTTCCCACCCAACTCTTTATCCCCCATACTCTGCCTTAGGTTTCTCCCTGTCACAATCCAAATACCACACTTACGTGCTGATATGTTTGTCTGTCTCCCTCCACGAGGGCAGGGCTTTTTTGTTTATTTCATTCATTGCCATGTCCCTGATGCCTAGAATTGTGCCTGCTACAGAGCAGCTGCTCCACAGATAGTTACTGAATGATATATTAAGGAAACATCCAAATTTCCACAGAGGCTGTTGAAGAATTGACCTAAGACTTGAGTAGAAACCACAGGGATTTGCAGACAGAGTTGTTCTCCGGCAGGGGCTTGCTTCACTTCACCTCCGAGCCTCAGTTCCTCATATGTTCCTCAATGCCCCATGAGGTTTTGTTAATGGGGTCTTGCATAGGAAAAGCATGGCATGCTCCACCCTAGACATCAGAGCCGGCAGTGCCTCAGAGACCAGCCTCGCCCAGCCCCCAGGCAAGGGTCTCAGCCCAGCCTCGGCTTTCCCAGGGCTGCAGCAAGTCAGGCAGCAGCTGGGAGGAAGGGCCTGTTTATTTTCAGCTACAGCTCTGAAAGCAGTAGACTTTATTAAAACAACAACTACTATAAAGTTTAAACATCATATAAAATTTATTAAATGGAAATTAAACAGTGCCTAAAGTTCCCAGACTACCCAAAGCAGTTATTCTCCAGCCAGGATCTGAATCTCTCTGCCTGTCCTATCACACGAGTCTTGCCCCACTCAGCAGCAAAATGGGATTGCACCTGCCTGCCCCCCTACCTCACACTCCCACCCCAGCACTTCCACCCCAGGCAGGGAGAGGAACCAAGAACTCATCCAGGGAAGCAAGGCTCCACCAGATCTCCAGCCCCATAAAAATCAGTGCTGACCAGGAGTGCTCTCCCTTGGGGGAAAGCTGGGCCAGCACACCGGTCAAGGGTGCACCCAGGTTCCACTTGGCTCAGGGCTCTGCCACATGGGGGACAGAAGCAACCTAGCCACCAACAGGTCTGGGTCTGAGAGGGGAGGAGTCCAGGGCAAAGTGGGAGAAAAGGGGGGGCCCTAATCCATGGTGTGGGAGCTGGAGGGACTGAACAGGCAGAGGTAGTCACAGACCAAGGCTGGCAAAGCTTTCAGGCCACACCATGGCTGTTCCTACTCTTGGGGCCCGTGTGCGGTCCCTGCCAATGCTCCACTTGCAGATAGGAAGACCACTGTTCACAGGCGCACCGTGCTTTAGTTTGCAGTCCATCTTCTCACTTAAATTCACCTAGCCTCCCTGCAGCCCCTGGGTGATCAGGGCAGATGATGACCCGCATTCGAGAAGGCTGGGGATCAGAGAGGTTCAGGGACTCACTGAAGACACACAGCAAGAAAGTACAGGAGCCTCAGCCAGGATTTCCACAGCTCTAGCTTTGTGTTTCTTCCCGAATGCGGGCAATTCTTTACGGTTCGCCCTGTATTAGGCTCACTGTGGGAAGGACAGGACCTTCTCGGTACACGGGTATCCCGGCGGCGCCCATCTCACCCCTTCCGCGGGAGGGGACGCCTGTCCTGGCCTCTCGGCTATGGTCAGGGGCCCCTACTGGAGTGAGCCGGTTGGGCGGGGGTGTCGAAGTGGAAGTAACGCGGAAATGGGGGCGGGTCTGCGTCCTCGGGGCCCATCAGGCGCCGCAGGGGTCGGGGAGGGGAACAGGGGCGTGGAGAGGGTCCTACGGCGCACGCCGGGCGGAAAGGACGGCCCCAGATGGGGAGCTGACGCCTGCCCCGGGGAGGCGACGGGAGAAGGGCGTCAGTTACCTGCGGCAGGATCTGGATCGGGCTCGGGCTCGGGCTCGGGCTCAGGTTCGGACTCTCCCAGGTCCAGTCCGGCTGCCCGCCCGGGGCACGCCGCAGACCCCGCCTCCGCGCAGCCCGAGGCTCCGCGACCAATTACGCTCGGCCCGCCGGGGGCGCCACCGCGGCCGGGCTCCTCCCTCCAGGCGGGGCTTCTGCGGGGCCCGGCGCCCCACCTTTCCCGCCCCAGCCCCTCTCCCGGGTTGGTCTGTACCAAGCTGGCGCCCCCTCTCTCGCTGCTCATATCTGGGGTCCTAAGGTGCTCCTTTGCGACAGGAGACAGAGACCCGAGAAGGGCAGGGAGTGCTGCAGGTCACACAGCAACACGACGTTTTGCATTTCTCCCTCCTAGATTGTCATCCCGAGGCTGTCTTTAACCCCTCTTCTGCCTCGCTTCTCCCTCATTTTTTCCTCTGGGCTAACTGATTTCTGATTGTGTCTTCCACTTTCACTGCTCTTTTTCCCAGTTCCTTTGAGAGGATTTTTATATTTGTGCATTTTTGAAAATGGATATTTTAGTCCCAAGGACAGAATATATGCACAGTATAGAAAGCTTGGAATACACAGGAAAAAATCACCTGTAATTCCTTCACCCCAAAGTTGCCATTATCAAGGTAGGATGTTCATCCTGCCGGTATTTTTTCCTCTGCAGCTTTCAAAAATTATTTTAATAAAAATCAAATAAGGTAGTGACCTCTATTTTGCTGCCTCCTTTGTTTTTCAACTTAGCACTACATTATGAACGTTTCATCTGCCACTAATTATACATGACTCATCCTCCCCAAGGCAGCATGGATTTCATGGTTGGAGTGAACTGTTGGACGTTTGATTGTCTCCATGTTGTTACTATAAAGGATGCTAAGATGCACATCTGAACACGCATCTCACTCTCCACCTCCAGTGCACCCTCCATCTGGTTGGAGAGATCTGAAAGCTAAAAGCTGTTTCCCATCCTCACTGGCCGCTAGAGTTCTGAACTAGGTGCTTCCAATTAGCAGTGCTCCTGCCAGATGTGGAAGGCGAGACTGAGTTGAAAGGTACGGTCCTGCCCTTTGGGGCATCGCCAGCAGGATGGCAGAAATGTGAGGATTTTCTGCAGCCGTGTTCCTTGCCCTTTCTCCAGCTTCCTGGCTGAGCGGCTGCAGCTCCTTGACTCCAGCTCCCTGCTCTTTGAATCATGGCTGCAGGAGGGCTTCTTCAGCAAAATTGCTCCAGTTGTGCCCTCAGATAGTAACAAGGCTGGTGAGCCATACTTATATTGTTCTGGAAGACAGTCCTGGTCTAGCTAAGGCCTGCTTCTACCTCTGGCCTTTCCAGTGTTCTGTGAGTACCCAGTTCCCTGTATTAAGTCCCTACCTCTCCACATATTTAGACTGTTCACATTTAACTGCTTGAACCTGACTGATTCACGTAGCTCTTCCCTTAAGCTACGTCTCTATGGAATTTTTTGCTTAGGATATTCACAGCCCTTGCTGAAAAATTTAGCCCTTCCTCAAGGCACTGTGTCATACATCTTGTCATCCTGATGCTCATGCCCTCCTCGAGTTTCCCCAGCACCGTGTCAGCTCCTTGCAAAGCCCTCCTGCCTCCCCCACAGCACGTGGGCAGCTTAGCACCCCTTGGACACTTGGCATGGCACTCCACCATTGATTGACTTAGTGACTAGTTTGTCCGTCACTAACAGGCCTTATTGATAGAGGCAGCAAGTCCATGACTAAGTGAGTAACAGACCTCATCAGGTCAGATCGCACTGAAAAGCCATGCCAGTCTGAGAGGCCAGGGCAGACAGAAAGTGGCCCCCACTGGGAACAGTTGGAGTCTGGGTCCTGTGAGGAGCAACTGAAGAAATTGGGGTTGTTCACCCTTTAGAATATGAGGGACAAAGACTGGCCAGTATCTCAGCTGGTTAGAGCATGGTATTTGATAACCACCATTATCAAATGTGGGAGTTCAGATCCCCTTACCAGCCCGCCGCAAAAAAAAAATAAAAAAGAATACCAGGGATAAAGTTATATTCTCCAAATCTCTGAACAGCAAAAACAGACAGGATCTGCAGGGTCCTAGAAGGCAGAGCCAGACCAAGGAGGGGAAGTTAGAAGGAGGTGGAGGAATGACTTGTGGCAAAGCAGAGCTGGCTAAGGATGGGCTGCCTTGAAGAGCAGTGACCCCCCGACACTGGAGGAGTACAGGGAGGAACAGACAACCAAGTGGCAAACTCCTGTAGGAGGGAGTATCAGAAAAGGACTGAACTGGACAAGTGACTCCCAAACTTAGCTGTGCATCAGAATTGCGTGGGAAGCTTAAAAAAAAACCAAAAAACAAAAAAAACATTTTACAATCTCCTGGGCCTTACCTTCAGAGATTCTCAATTATATGGTGTGGCTTGGAGCCCAGGAATTTTTTTTAAGTTCCCCGTATGTTTCTGATGTGTAACCATATTTGGGAAGCACAGGCCTGAGTAGTCTTTGGGGATTCTATGACTCCATCATGGATGTTTCCAGAAAATTACCTCCCATGAATGCTTTGTATCTAGACTCCACCCAGCACATCCACCCCTGACACACTTCATAAGCTGTAGCTGGCACCAAAGTGGTCCTGTTGCAAGGCATCCAAAGAATAAAAAAATAGGAACCTTCTACAATGCTTGATATTTATGGTTTGGAGAGAAAGCTAAATGTGCAATGACTGAGCATAAAATGCACAAATTATTTTTGCAGAGGGTTGACTATTTTTCAGGAATGTTTTGGACCAGTTTTTTAATTAGAGAAAAGGGTCCAGGCCTCTGTAACAGTACTGGCCCTGGAGCCACCATGGGTGTTTAGACTAAAAGGACTAAAGGGGGGTGAGGAAACACAAGTCACAGTCAGATCACTGTAGCAGGGAATGTCGTCCAGGGCTGTGTTTACAGTGGGCTGGTGGGGCAAGAGAAGCTATTTCTATCCTTCAGTATTTTAGAGCCTTATATGTCTAAGAAGTTACTGAAGAAGATTCCAGCTCTGAGAATAATGAACAGATCAGATAGATTCCAAACAAAAAGGCAAGTGAACTGTACTGGGTGTTTATTTTACTCTGAGTATAATTGTTCTCTACATTTGAACTGAAGATGGAAGACCGGGTCAAGACACTGACAAATTTGCAGGGAATGGAACTTTAAAAGTAAAGATGCATTTGGGCCGGCCTGTGGCTCACTCGGGAGAGTGCGGTGCTGATAACACCAAGGCCCCAGGTTCGGATCCCACATAGGGATGGCCGGTTCACTCACGGGGTGAGCGTGGTGCTGACAACACCAAGCCAAGGGTTAAGATCCCCTTACCGGTCATCTTTAAAAAAAAAAAAAAAAAAAAGTAAAGATGCATTCAAAAAGCAAACCAAAATATATATTTTTTTCTTTTATTTTTCCTAAGTGAACCCCTAAATGAAACTTACACTCTGTGAACATGACCAAAGTTTGAATGTTGTCAAACAAAAGCAGTCCTGAGTGTTTGCCACAAACTCAGTTCTCCTTCTGCCTGCCTGTCTTCTTTTCTTTTCCCTCCCTCTGCACCTCATTTTTATAGTGGAGGAAACAGGCCCAGAAAGGGAAAGGGACTTGCCCAACCAAGGTAACACTGGGGATTAGTATCCGAGTCCAGACTAGAAGCCAGGCTCCTGCACAAGCACAAAAGGAACACTGATGGAAGCAGAGCATATGGCAGGCAAGTGGATACCTGCAGAGGTGGGTTTCTACCCATGCCTCGGAAAGTCCCCCGGAGAAGCAGCCAACTCAGGGCTACAGGCAGCAGAGACCACTGGTGGTCACTTCCCCATAATCCCAGCATTTCCAGATTTCTTTTCTTTTTTTTTTTTTTTTCTAAGATGACCGGTAAGGGGATCTTAACCCTTGGCCTGGTGTTGTCAGCACCACACTCTCCCAAGTGAGCTAACCAGCCATCCCTATATAGGGATCCGAACCCATGGCCTTGGTGTTATCAGCACCACACTCTCCCGAGTGAGCCCAGGCTGGCCCTCCAGATTTCTTGAAAACAGCTTCCTGCCCTTGACTTCAGCCTCCCAGCATTTACGTAAATCTCTAATTCCTTGTATTGAATCTCTTCCTACTCAAAACACCTAGAATGGCTTCTGTTTTCCAGACCACACCCGGATAGCATCAGTGAGACTAAGGAAGATCCAGCTGGGATGAGGAAGAGGAGGGGGAGGAAGCTGCAGCATTGACACTTGGCAACAGCACCTGTAAAGCACAGTTAGAGTTTGCCCTAGCGGAGCGGAAGGCCCAGCTATGACACACTGCCTGGTTGTGGCTTCCTCCTCATGCTCAGGTTAAGGAGAAAAGCCACGTTCAAATGAAGGCAGTACCACATGTGGCCTTGGGAGCTCTGTCTGGGAGGAGGGATAAGGTGGAGTTTGGGAGGAGTTTGGGAAGAGATTATAAAGGAAACAAGGTGGGTGGTAAATAGAAGAGATATACCAACTCCACCCTGGGGGGCCTGAGAGGGTCTGGGCTTCATATCCACCGGCCACTTCTCCCACTGGCATGGTCACATGCAGCACAAAATAAATCAATGCTGCCTCAACTGTCCTAACAAGGGAACTCCAGATAAGAGATCACAAACTGGCAGCCCATCTCTAGCCAGCATACATGCTGTCTTTGGCCCCAGCAGTGTTGTGGGGCTTTTGTGGGTTTTTTTCCTTTTTATGCTTTCTAATGCTTAAAAATTGAAATATTTCACATTAAAAATTCACATTTCTAGTTGTTCTTGAAAAACTGGAAGACCTGGCACCAATAGGTCTTCACTAACATATGGGACAGTCAATCAGCTAGAGATGCCCCTTTAGATAGGGCCTTAACTCTCCAGTTTGCCACAGGCCTCACTACTCCCTAGTGCTTCATACCAGGTTCACTGATTGTGGTAGACAGAATAATAGCCCCCAAAGATACCTATGTCCTAATACCTGGTATCTACGAATATGTTACTTTACAGGGCAAAAGTTAATAACCCTAAGGTGTAGAGATTATTCTGGGTTATATGGGTAGGCTCAACATAACCAGAAGGGTTCTTATCAAAGGGAAACAGGAGTCAGAGAAAGAAATGTGATAATGGAAGCAAAGGTTGGAGTGATGCAGGGACAAGCCAAAGAGTGTGAGCGGCTGGAGAAGGCAGGGGAACGGATTCTCCCCAGTGTCTCCAGAAGGAGTGTATCTCTGCTGATACACTGATTTTAGCCTGATGAGACACATTTCAAACTTGACCTCCAGAACTGTAAAATAATAAATCTGTGTTCTTTTAAGCTACTAAATTTGTGAGTTTGTTCCAGCAGCAATAGGAAACTAATACACTGATTTCCTCTGATCTACCCCCTTGTAGGCTTGTGAGTTTATGGCTCCAGACCTACATGGAGCAGCAGGTCCTAACAGCATTCTGTTGTGTGGACAGACCATAATTATGGAGGGCATCCTCTATTTTGTTTGCCCAGCATCTCTCTTTCCTTTTGAAAATGGTATCCACTGCTCCCAATCATATTTTTGAGTGAGAAATCCCCATCACAGTATTCTACATATTCCGGGGAACTTGTTAAACCTTGCTAAATATAATGAAATGTCACCCAGCTTGATGTGTAAACAGACCGTAACCTAACCCGGAAGTACACTCTCCTAACAAGCAGCCACATCTCAGCCCATCACAGCCAATCACAGCAGCCAAGCTTCAGCCCATCACAGGCTGCAAACTGATCACACCGTGTCCAAATAAGGTAAATGACAAGCTGTAACCAATCAGGCGTTTCCCTATGTCACTTCTGTTTCTCTGGCTATAAATAGGATCTGCACAAGTGGTAGGGTGGAGAATTCCGATCCCATTTTGGCCTGAACTGCTGCGTAATTCTACAGTCAGAATATGAATTGTCAGAATATGAATTGTCAAGCTTTCTTCATTTTAATCTCAACCA